CAAAGGCAGATGAATTAAAAACAAGTCACACAATTATATGCTGTGATTAAATATTCAATATAAAACTGAGAAACAACATCAACTTGGCACTTTTTTCTCTGTTTTAAGGTATATCCTGAATCCCTGGATAATTTTTGTACCAGTACAACCACATTTTCTCAGTGAGACAGATTTCTTCACTGTAATGTGAAGGGTTTATACAAAGCAAAAGAAGAAGAATGATTAATAAACTGGCTGGCTATATGGATGAAACATCTGATTACTGTCAAATGGTCAGTGTGGATAAGCTGGAGAAAAATAGAATAAAAAAGCTAACAACTATAATTATGATAATCTAAGTGTAACACATACAGCTAGTAGCAAGTTTTTATTGTGTGTGTGTGTTTTGCTTTGTTTTTTCTTCTGCAATTGAAATATGTTTTATGTATGAGGTTTGTGCTTCTCAAAAACACAAGTAATGACATTGTTCTGCAAGGAAAAATAAGCTGTCAAGATTGCTGCCAACTTCTGATCAGGTTTACTTTAGGGATCAACACATGACGTCTCAAACAGGCAAAAGTGTTGATCCTGTTAACACCAACAAAAAAAGAAGATTCTGTCTGCATGGCCCTAGCCAGCATTCAGCACTGAAACACAGCCTATGGTCCTAGTAGCTGTGCTGAGTGTGGAGGAGGGGGGATGCTTAGGTGCTCATTCACTATGGGTGCAGGATCCCAGCCTGTGTGACAAACATCTCCCCATAAATGCCTCACCTTAATTTCTTAGGAGCAGCAATTTGCTTTGTACCTTGGTTCCAAGGACACCACTCCTGATATGGGGCAGCAGGTCGCGCCCTGGGCCATCGTGACTCTGGCAAACAAGTCAGTCACAAGTTTGGTTTTTTTCAGAAGAGATGTGCTCTGTCCCCTGGGGTGACATTGACCTCCCATCTCTGAAGAGCAGCCACTGGCCAATGTGGATGCCCCAGCCTGGCCCGCTGCCATTCCCAGATGAGGTGGCATCGGTAGACTGGGCCAAAGCATGCGCAGCCCCATCGGTGGCCAGTCCACCCCACCTTGGGCATGGTGCAGGACTTGCACTGAGTCCTTCAGCTTCACGGTGTTCTTGAGTTCTGTCATGGCCTCTGCCAGTGTCCTACCTGCCTAGAGAAGAAGTGCATACGGGTGTGAGCCATGGAGAAATGTCTTATGGTTATTAATAAAAGCAGCCTCTTGGGAAGTTATCTTCTCCTCTTCCAATTGGACTTTGTGCCTTGTGGTGGGAGGTATGGTGAAAGCAGATCAGCACAAGAGCTTCCACTCCAGAAAGATGTTCCCCAGAGGTGGCAATGTTTTGCTGCAGAAAAAAAGACATATCCACAAGAGAACCCCTTCCCTGAATCTTCACTAGCATGGTCTCTCCTCATTGAGTCACTAGCTGAGAAAACCTATGGGCTGCAAAACATATGTGTCATGTCATAGGACCAGTCCTATGGACAGAGCATAGCTCTAAACATAAAACTCGTGTTGGACCTGGCTTCCCGGTGCCATAGTCTGGCAACCGCAGGAAATTTCCCCCCGGCCTAGCTGAAGGAGCACAGCAATGTCATGACTTGGTACCTTCCTGATCATGTTCTACAGTGTCTTTTCCTGGAAATCTCATGTAAGCTGGCCCTGCTCTGAGCGAGCGGCCTGGACCAGACGGTCTCCAAAGGTCCTTTCCAATTGAACTGATTTTTGATTCTATCATGGAGAAAAGGGGTGTTTGGAAGAGGGAACAGAGTAGCTGGGTGCTCAAGGCACATTTCCTATCAAGACAGCACATCAGAGGACTATATCAGTACTGAGTTCTACATGCCCTGCTCATGCTGATAGACTCATAAGCTTTGCTGAAGCAAATAGCGTAACTGCAGGGCTACCCAGTATAAAGACCATCTTCAGTAAAGGGGCATATGGCATAAAAATTATTGAAATAAGAAAGATCTAGGAAAAAAATTATGTTGAATACTTCATATTGCATACAGAAGAATCGGAAAATTCACATGCTTTCAATAATTGTCTCTCATGCCGTTTCTAACTTGGAAACAAGCATATTTCCACCATGAATCCTTCTTTTTCAGTAGGGATGATGAGATACAGTGGATCCTAAATAATGTTATAAGTCTTAATATTATACTATTCTCTTAAATTAGCACAGGTGTATGGCTAGTTGAAATACTATGTTATGTGACTTTAAACCCTTTAATTAGGTTTTGAATCTCTTCTCTGTTTCCCAACAAGAGTTCATACAAGAGTAACTTGTACAACTGGCAGCTGCCATGGTTTTTAGGGACTGCAAAAGCTCTTGCCTTTCCAGGGCCGTATCATTGTCACTTGACATTTGTGACATTGTCACATTGACATTTACACACCTCTAGTACCCACATAACAAAAACACTCCTGCCCTCAATTAATCCGACTAAATGCTATAAAAAAGATGTGACAAAAGAACTCAGGAATGGCATTTTCCTTTTCACAGATACAAAAGTTCTATTGAAAACACCTTGAGCAAGGATGCATCTGATGTACAATAAAGCCTGTACCTAATACATTTGACAGATCCTTCCTGAGCAGTTCATTTGTGTGAAAATATAGCAGCTTATAATACTTTCAAGGACAATTAAGCTTAGAAGCAAGGACAATTAGATCTAGACCGATGCATTCAGAACATGCTAGTTGGGCAAATTATAAGTTGCTTATTGTCTGTCTTTACTTATTTACATAATTTCAGAAGTCCTCCCACCCCCTAATATTTTAGAGACAAATTGTACAATAAATTTCTTTCTTGAGACAGTTACATATACTTCCAGAGAGGTTACTTGTAACACTGCACACATAGTTGTGATGGATTTTTTTTGAAATAATATGTTAAATTTGCATACTTCTGGTGTTCAGGAATATGTCAGCATTTACCCAGGTAACTTTGACAAATGTTTACCACCTAACAGCAAACTGCCAAGGCCATTTTACTTCTATTAAGCACCCTCAGAATCTCTAAGAGGGTCCTCAATGCTCAGTTAATAATAAATACACAGAAATGGTATTTGGTGTTAATATTGTTAGAGCAGTTAGCATCCCCATGTGTTTTAATTATATACACGTCCTCAGTATTTTCTAAAAAATGATTTACCTTTGTTCTTTTCCACCTAGGTAATTAAAAACATGGATCCATTTCTCAAGAATTCAGTACACAGCTTTCCAGCTAGATGCTTGGATTTCCAATTAATTGATCTTTTCCAAAACCCAATCCTGCATATTTTGATACACCCGACGACCTTACTACTTCCTGGAGTCATACTGTAGATTGTGGTGGAACTATTCTCAGTATTAAGGCACACAGATAAATGTTGGTGAGACTTCATTCCCACCAACAGGCAGACGTAAGGCAGACAGACGGGCAGACATCTAAGATGGAATATTATATTTATCTTCTTTGCCTGTATAGTTCATCAGTCTGGATGACTGCCTGGTCAACATCTTCAGAAGCAGGAATCATACCATAGCTCTAATAGAAGAAAGATTAGTTTATTGAAAGTCTTCATTTGCTAAGAAAATATTTGGCACTAAAGGCTTTTAAGGATACAGATGAAACAGGCAATGATTTATTTGTCAGCCATAGGATTGAATAACACAGGTATAAAAGTCCACCTACAGATTTATTACATATTGCTAGACATGTTTACAATTTAATTCTTCTGAAGAGGATTAGATGATTTTCTCTGGGAGAAAATTACTTTCAGTTTTATACAAATTTGAAAAATGAAAACTTTTTTTGGTTGCAATTTCAGTTAAACTGCTAAGAGATGATTTTATAACACAGGCACAGGCCCCATCTCCTGCTTTGGCTAAACTTCCTCGGTATTTAACAGCAATGTGACTGAAAGAGAAATGCAGCAAAACCTGAAGGATATGGTACTACTATTTCACTTCTATGGAGTTCTAATAAATTCAGAAACTTTCACATTCTGAAAGCTCATCTACTGAATGAAAGGCCTTAAATCATTAGTTCCTACAGATTTTCTTATTCAAGTAATGAAAAAGTTAAATCTAGATTAGTCTAAGACAGCCTTCACTGTGTGAGCTGAATACATTTAATTAGCCTTGTCTTCCTGAGCCTGCAGACACACTGGTCTAGTACCCCTGCAGCTAATCAGAGCTTCTCTGAAAAGCAACAGAGAGAAATTGATGGGAGACTGGTTAGTGCTGCTGACAATGTTCAGAGCTATATGTACAATTGTAAAAATTATAAGAAACCACATCATTTTATATTTATAAGATGCCCGTATCATTTTCTTTTTTTCTTTTCTTTTCTTTTTTCTTTCCTTTTTTTTTTTTTTTTTTTGCTAGAGGAAACTATTAGCAGGAATATTGTCTTTGCAACTATGTCCCTGGACTTTCTGCTCTCCTCTCTCTATTTTCCTTACCAGACATAAGCTAGAATTTTTTTTTCCTACAGATCAGAGTCTAGCAAAGCTTTTCACGCTTTAACAAAAGTAGTTAATAAATATTACTTAAATATGCCTGATGTACATTGACATCTAATTTAGATGAGCTTTCTCCTCAAATGAATGACTAACAGAAGCTGTCACATGATTTTTCTTTAGGGCTTTGAATGACAAGACAAATCACTCATATTAAGAGAGAGAACCCAAGATTTTATCTCCTGGGGGTGGAAAGATGCATATACGACACTTTCAGAGATTGGAAGCAGACACTTGCCTGTTGCTGGCACTGACAGATTTGCCATTCTGACCAAGCTAATATTATCCCAGCCTGTGAGCTGGGATGCATGAGCTCAAATTAATTAGAAAGCAACTAGATCAAGATTATACAGTGTGTCAAGTGTGGTGACAGATTGGTATTATATTATTGCATGGAAGGAAGTTCTATTTATAAACCACCTAACTGTTATACAGGAAACTGGTACTGAGACATTTCCACGGGCAAGCCTCCTATCTCATCTTCATCCTCTTCCTGACAACCCCCAATTCACTTGCATAAGAAATGAAAACTTCCTGATAAAAGAATAAAAGAAAACAGAATGGGAACTGCATTGTTTCTCTTCCATACCCACACAGGCCAGAGACTCATTGTTTCTAAAACCAGTAGATGATGTTAAGCTCCATTAGAATCAATAGGATTTTTGCCAACTGTGTCAGTCGAGCTGTTTTCTAGGGTGAGGTGAAATGAAGGTGAGTACTTAGCCAGGGAGATGGTAACTATAAAGACATTCCATGGAACTGTAGTCTTTCGGGAACTTATAGTTGGAAAAGAAAAAAAGGTGTAAAATGTATCTTGTTAATCCATCCAAACACAGCCCTGATGACTGAACACAGAGGCTGCCCAGCCACGCAGCTGTGATTGTCTTAAATCACTTGGATTCTGCTAATGACTAAAATTAAAATTTTCTGTGTGTATGCTTGTGTTTTGAATTGGAGCAAGTGTGCAATTTTGAAACAAATCCCCTATTTTTTCCCTTTATTGATTCTATTCACTCACAGTTTTAATGTGTGTAAACTAGAGTCTTTTTGGAGGAAAGTAGCCTAGAAGTTTCCCCCAAAACTACTTCAGTACTAAACAGAGACATTAAATTCTAAGCCAATGTGTGGGCTTCATCCCCACATCATGTGTGCCTAGAGAAAGCAATTCAATGAGGCAGAGCCTCCATAACACATGAAATATTTTTGTGAGAGAGTCAAGGACCATGCAAGTCTTTCAGTTTGTTCATTTTTTTTAACAGAGCCAGATCCAGTCTTCAGCTTTGGAGAGGTTCTTCAGGTACCTTGCAGATTCCCAAGGAGATGACACTCCTTGCTCTGAACAGACAGTTTCCCTGACAGCAGAATAAGTTGGTGGAGATCATGAGAGTTTGCTAACCTTGGGATTGCTGTTGGGTGTGACAGAAACAGTGAGCAACACTGCATGAAATTCAAGGTGAATTTCAGCAGCATTTGCAGAGAGTTTGAACAAGCATCACTCTTCAGGCATATCACATAAGACCTGTGCCTTTTATGCAGCCTTGAGTGGGAGCATACTTTCAAGCTTACCTGGACTTTCAGGCTATGAGTTCCGATGAAGGAGAAGGGAAAGGATAGCATGCC